TGCGTACCCCCTCGGATATCTCGGAGATCTGTATCCTGCCGAGTACATACACAAACAATAATATCCCTTAGATCAGGTGATTTGTGTGATCGTTAGGGACATACTTAGTCAGCGGGACTTAGTCAGCGGCACGTTGTCTTCCGTTAATTTCGATGTTTTCGGGAACGAACAGTGTTCATGGTCCACAGATGTGTCCCAAAAATCCCCCTCCCGCATGCCGTACGCTTCGTTCGTCTGCAGACGGCACGCTCAGCCTGCTACGAGTTCCAGCTGGCTGTTGTCGAGAACAGAGCAGACTCCCACAAGGCTGGCGCTGATTTGGCGCGAGTCAAAACCGACCTGCCGACAAAGACGAAGCTGTTCAGACGGACGGAAGCCGAGAAGCAGGTAAGTGCTGTGACAGCGTCTCACACGCTCTGATTTCACATTGCATTTTCCTCTGCATGGCTCTCCCTGTGTAGCAGAGTTTTTCTTATGAACGTGTTCAACTTTCGCCACGTGGATATTGAAATAGCAAGAAAACCTCCCGCCCCTCGCATACCGTACGCTTCGCTCGTCTGCAGACGGCACGCTCGGCCTGCTACGAGTACCCGCTGGCGGGAATCCAGAACAGGCAAAACGCTTACAGAGCGAGCATTGCCTTGGCGCAAGGCAAGCAGGACTTGCAGAAAATGACCCAGATGGTAGCCCGGTTCAACGTCCAGACGCAGGCAAGTGCTGTGACAGAGTCTCACACGTTCTGAATTCTTGCGATGTTCAGCTGAGCGGAAACTATTTTTCAAGCTACATATTGGCCTCCTGGCATCGGTTGTCGCCGGCCGCAAATCCCTCTGCCCGCACCCCCACCGTCCAACCCTGCCCTACAGCCCCAGCGCTTACGGATGCTTTGTTTAAACGCCGCATTGGTGAAGGAGGAAGGGAAGACGGAAAAGGCGGAACGTGACTTGGCTACTTGTCGTGCCAAGTACGAGCGAGCTACGCTCACGCTAAGATACGGTATCTTACTGCACAACGTGGAAGGGATCCGCAAGCACGACAGACACCGATTGCCTGGCCCCGATAGAAGACAGCCGTGATGATCAGACGATACGGTGGTGAGAATAATTTGTGCACCTCTCGGTAAAACTTGTACCATGGTACAGTCCAACTTTGCATACGATGTGTAGTATATGCTAACAGTGTACCCTATTCGATGTGCTCGTAGCATAGCATGCGGGTGGTATATTGCGTATACATATGCGGGTATTTAGCTACGGGTATTGCATTGACGAACAACGGAGGAACAAGAAGTTTCTTTATGTTTTCCTTGGGAGTTTGGTAGATTGGTGGAGATTCATGAGGATTCGTTTTGGGTGTTTGAGCGTTATGCGTGACTTGATGCCGTGATGGAATGACGAGCTCAAGCACGCCCCCGATTAATACAACACGTATACAACACGTTTTTCCACACGTCTGCACGACTTTACCTAGCCCTACGGCCCGTCATGGCCGAGCTACTCTACACTCCCATCACACACAACTGAGCCACCCGAATTATCGATCACGCTAGCGTATGACACGTCGTCTACGAGATTCGCGTCAAGCTTATAGTTTGGAGTATCGCTTTGCGGCGATCAGCAGCTGAACCCGATGTCCAGCGCCGACCAAGAACGAGGCGCCCGTCACGCAGAAGCCGAGGACGCCCGCATCAACGAGTTGGTGGAGATGAGGGTACAACAACGACTGGCCGACATAAGGCGGCAACAAGACGAGGAGGAGCAGAGGACAGAGAACGTTCGGACCGTAAGCGAGCACGAGGCACGCCACCAGCAACAAGCGGGGCGGCCATCGGCGAACCCGGCCGTAGATGACATCGCCCGCACTCTCGCCGACGCCCTGACCAGCCGCCNGGTTAAGCGCCTAGCGCCTTGGGATGAGATTTTTAGGCAAAGGGAAGATGAGCAGGCAAGATTTTTTATTTTTCGATCCAACATGATTGCTATGTTTGCGCAAGAAGGAGTCAGGGACGTGGTATTGAGTGACCACAGAATTCCAGTCGGGCTCGAAGGAA